GGAGAAGGGAGCGAGGCAGGCCAGTTAATCTCAACCCTACTGCTTTATTCAATTGTCACTCATCCTACACAAGTACAAACACAACATGGCCCAAAAGGCTACAAAGTGATACAAAACAAAACAAAAAATCTTTATAGCATTGACTGTACAACAGGTGGTAAATTAAAAAAAATATATGAACCCCAGCTAATCCAGACAGTGTGGCGGCCTCCAGCCTCCCTCCCTGCCTTGCCCTTTCCAAGGGGTCAACACTCAGTCGATAATTTGAGATTTGTAAAAGCAGAAGCACTCACACCATTTCATTGTGTAGGAAGTTTTTACCAAAATCCTTTAAGAAAAGGTGAAGAAATCACTTATGGGAGCAGCTACAAACCAGTTTTTAAGATTTCCAGCTTCTTTTCTACAGTATCATGTTCAGTGGGCTGGACCGTTGCTTCTGTGGTAAACATCTGGTAAACGTGTTACAGAAGAGCTTAATCTGCAGAAAAAGCTTGGGAACTTTTGGGAATCTGTTTGGGAACTGGAATAAAGCAACAACTCAGTATTTAAGTCTCGGGCAGATCTGGACTCCAGCTGCTTTGAAAAATGCCGTGCTGGCACCCAGAGATCAAGTTAAATGCCTCCCTGCCTTACTACATAGGGTTCTGAAATAGCTCAAAATTTACATGCTTGTCTGTACAGCGTGCTAAGCATTTAGAAGTCACCAAGCAGCAACCTGCTAACTGGAGAGAGGCTGTAACATCTTTCCTTCCATTTACCTGGAAAAGATGTTTTTTAAGCCTTTTTTTTAAAAAAAATCAAAGCCATTTTTATAATATTTCAATTCCATGCCAGGAAACTAGAAGCCCCACAGCAAAGGCTGTCTCCTGGCTGGGAACCGCTGCTCTCTCCTCTTAGGTTGCCTTCACTGCCAGGATTCTCTCTCCCACTCCTTCTCACCCAGACCCAATATAAAAAAAGGTACAATATTTAGTCTGATGGGATTTAAGTTAAAAAATAAAAGGCTGTCCAGTCTTTTTGCTTTATCGTGAGGAGTTTGAGCTGGAGCGGCTGCGATGGCGCCTTCGTCCGGGAGATCTGGATCTTGATCGCCGGCGAACAGGGGATCTGCGCCTTGGAGATCGGGACCTGACAGAGAAAGAGAAAGTTTTCATCAGGAGACAGGTTCTAGTAATTTGTCAACTCACCTACCAACTTTTCAAACACTTCCCAGCCCTCCTCCAAAAACCTCTCATACACCACAGTAAAAACTCCACTGAAACACGGCCAGCTCCAGAGAGGAAGGCGGGAATTCAAACACTGACTACACCGCAGGAATATTCTGGCTACCCTCCCTCTTCTTCAGGAAGCTGAAAGAATGTTTAGCACCCAAAGAAGAGACAAGAAACTTGTCTTCGCCCTCAAGCAAAACAAGCTCAAGTTCATTTTCCATCAAATCCTCCTTCACCTGAAAAGCGAGCTTTGACTCCCACCACAGAGTGACAATTCAGGGAAGGGTTCTATGTAAGCCCTTTCAAATCACAGGACCATTTCTTAGAGGAAGCCTAACTCTAAAGAAACAGTTAAGCTTCAATCAGCAATCAACCAGGATGACAGCAAGGCTCCAGACCCAGAATATTAACAAGAGTCTGAACAGGGGAACAAAAGTTAAACTAGGGAAGAAAACAAATAAGAAAGGAATGCCAAACCTAGCATTTGCCAGCCTTCAGTAAAAGGCACATTTAAAGGAGAACAGGCAAGAACAGGACAGCACATCTTGTGTCACACTAACTAGCTCTCATTTTTAAACTCAGAGTTCATAAGCTATTCAGAAATCCAGTGGCTCAAGCAAGAGCTGTTTCTGTACTGACAAGAGCCTAAGCAGATTTCCAAGACAGAGGAGCCCATCTAGGTGCTGAGGGAGACTCCAAAAGACTTCGTATCTGAACATGTTCAGGCAGCCCCAAGTCGCAGTGGGCACACACACGTCAAGTGGCATCCTGGGGTCAGCATACTCCGCTCACCTGGCGCAGGACTGCTTTTCGGCTGTGTGCCCATTCATATAAATAAGGGAGGGAGGTGCAAACGCTTCAGAAAAGCAAGTGGCTGGAGCAGGCTGCCAAAAACATTCTGCCAGCCAGAAGGCCATGCCCACGTCACCTCAAAGCACTTACACAGAAGGGACTCCAGGGAGCAGGCTGGAAAGTGCCTGATGTTTCCAGCAGATGGCTTTCAGGGTGTAGACCAGAGCAAGTCACCAAGTCACCCTGGTGCCAGGAGTTAGGAGTACAATCCAGGTCAACTGATGCCAAAAAGGTGCTACTGTCATTAGAGGGGAAAGTCAAGTCCAAGAGGATTCACTTGTTCCCATGCCAAGTCCTTTCAGTGATAAACACTGAGCAGGAAATACAAATTGTCACAGCTCTCACCTTCTCCTCATACGAGGGGGTGACCTGCGCCACATCGGTGGTGGTGGCAGCATCCTCCTGGGTGGGCTGAAGCGTCTCGGAGGTGGCCGAGGTCGCGGTGCCAGCACAGCTGTGGCAGTGATCTCCTGACCATCGATCTGGCCTTTTTAGGGAACCACAGAAATAGGAAGAATTAAGTATTTTCCAACACTAACATCTACACATCACTTTACTGCAACTCAGCTTTGTCACACGCAACTGAAGCATGAATCAGCCTACAGTCCTATTTCCATCACTGCTCAGGGGCTATTTTGGCAAAGTCCACAGACATACTAGACTTCTTAATCTAACATCTCATTAAATTGCAGTTCACATGTTAATTGGAAGAGATTTTCACAGAAACTTCAAGAAACTTAATTATTGCTTTGAAAACATTCACTTTTAATAGTTCTGTGATTTTTTTGGATCACACAAAAGCCAAAGCCATCTGGGCCAGTAACAGACAGTATTTCAGATCAGTTCCCCAAAGGCTTCCCCATCACCTCATTTTCAGATCAAACTCATCTGATGCAAAGATTTTTAAAAGCACCCAGCCTGCTTGCAGCATTTGACACTTACCTCCATCCATGTGTTTCAGGGCTTTCTCAGCATCATCTGGGTTCTCAAACTCCACATAAGCATAACCTTTAGAGAGGTGTGGATTTAGCCTGTCAACTGGCATGTCAATCATTTTAATCTTTCCGTAAGTGGAAAAAATTTCCATGATGTGATCCTGCAGAGAAAGAGCAAGTCTTAAGGACAGACCACACTACTGACCAGCTCTGGCTGGTGCAGAGCAGTACATCCAAGCTGTACAAAACACTAGATGAGCTTTAAATCAATGCCACCATCATGAAGAGATATACTTCACTAGCCAGATGTGGAAAGGATTACCACTGCTTTCTCTGCTGTTGTCTACGCAGTTCCCCCTCAGATTGTTCCACACCTTCAGCTCTAGCAGCATTACTGCTGCACATCAACACTGGCGACAAAAACACAACCAGTGTAAAGATCCTCTTGGGGATCTGAGAAGGGAACTTATGCCCTCAGCTGAGAACACTTCAGGTGCAACTGTTAATATTTTTTTTAAAACATCATTTTTTCAGTACTCTAAACCTTTTACCTCTGAAGACCTTTGAACTACATTATAGCAAAGTGAACTCAAGCCAGCCCAGCTCTCTTGAAATCCTTTATCAAGAAACTCCAGATATCCTTAATGCCTCCAAGGACATTTCAGCTGTTGTCCCAACTCCTACAGTTTTCTTCCTAGTAAGGCAGGATACAAGGTCAGCAATACTGACAACGCAGACAGACCTCTTAATGGCCTCAAAAGCCTGCAATGTATTTGACTCAGTAAAATCCTACCAAAATTTTCCTCATGGATCAATCTGGACACAAAGCAAGGATTTCCAACAGCAATACCTTGGCAGCACTCTAGCAACAAGAAAGTTTTGAGAGCTTTAAAAGAGCCACTCATGTGTTCTCACAGAAGACAGGCAAGCTTGGTGTTACAGAAGAGCATGCCATTACCTTGGTCACATTTCTAGTGAGCCTTCCAACATGCACTTTTGTAGGTCTAGGTGATGGGCTCCGCCTCTTCCGCTCCTTTTCATCTCTTTTGGGTGGCTTAGATCTGAATTTGACAACAGAAAAGGATTACATTTTTCAGGGAGCATGCAAGACAAAACCAAGAAGCCAGTCAATACCACATGACAAAAAGGTACCATTTTTCTTGAGAGGGCATCTTTTTTCTTAAGAAGTTACAGGTTAGGAAGTGCGAGGGTGGTGGTGAGGGCATTCCACTTATAAACACCTCAGGACTCACATTTGCCTTGTCTGCTTTTGCTTTAGAACCTCCAGGAAATTGAGAGCCCTTTTTTGTGAGTTTTTAGCTTTACTGCAACTAGGGTAACAAACATGAAAATTAGCAAAATTTATTCAGTTGCTGGCCATAGTTAAAGAATTTCTTAGTTGTTAAAACAAAAACAAATATTCTTTGCCTCAACAACTGAAGAGGCAAAGTGGGGACATAAACACCAAAGCACACCACAACCAGGCAAATCAATGGATTAAATGATTTTTGTTTCTGTATCTTCTGTTCACTACAGAGGTCCAGAAATATCAGTTAAAAAAATATTTCAGTAGCTGTCTATCACAGTTTCTTTGCAGTTACAAAAAAATCTGGAATGTAATTTTAATCTGTAAAAAACTCAATATGCACAAGCTTCATATTTATGCTTCTTCCTTACCTACAGAATTATCCAAATGAAAAACTGTATGGACACTACCAGTCTGAATTCTATCTTTACAGGAAAACACTTCCTTTGCCACCACTCTCATTTTATTTTTTTATACATAAGAATATGCATATACACATGCATTCACATATACACCACTGTCAGCCCTGACTTCTCTGTTAGTCTTGGCTGTAATTTATAAATAGCTTTACTCTCATCTAGTGCCCATATAGTACCATACTATTGGGGAAACATTGATTAAAACTGCCTCTACAAAATATTTACAAGCACTCCTTAAATTGAGATTTTTAATCTCTCTTCCTACAGGGCATACGTTTTGGTTTTAAGCAAAGGTAGCACACCTATTCTAACAAAATTTTAATCTCTAAGTTATGGAGAAAGCAAATGACCCCCAGGAAAAAAAAATCTGACCACAGTCTTGTATTTTACTTGAAAATTAACCTGCCATCTGGCAGTCCTAGAAGGCAAATAAAACTCACTTGGAGCGGGAGCGTCTCCTGTTGTCATGTCTCCGTCGAGAGGGACTCGGAGATCCAGAGGAGCTGCTGGAACTGGAACTGCGTGAGGTGCTGGAGCTCCCAGAGCGGCTTGAGGCAGAAGAGGAGCTAGAGCCACTGCTAGAGCCAGTGCTGGAACTGGACCCTGAACTGGAAGTTGAGCTGGAACGGGATCTGTTGGCAGAGGGGGAATGAGTGGAGTACCCAGAAAAAATAATGGGTGAAAAACTTCTGATAATTACAGAAAGAGTAACTGAGAGTTAGAACAATGAAAAGTAACGATTTGTCACTCACTAGACAGCCAAAGGATATTTATACCTAAAAGAATAAATCCCTTAAGTTAGATGAAACTGCACTGTGACTAACACAACAGAAGCTTTCAACAAGTCCATGACGCAAGGAACGAAACGTACCAGAAATCAAGCTGGTAGTTTCTAAAAACACTGTAATTTGTTACTCCCTGTAAAAGTAACTACCTGGTACTGCTGCTCCCACTGGAAGCACTGCGTCTTTTGCGTGTCTTGTCTCGACCACGATCCTTATCACCTGATTCCTTAGTGCCTGATTTATCCTTGGACCGGTCCTTTGACTTCTCTTCAGACCTATCCTTGCGCTTGGTTGGTGAGGGAGCCCTTCAAGAACAAATTGCAGAAGACCTTGTTTAATACAGGAAAACACAAACAACAAAAAAACCCACACCCAAACGAAGAACAGAAGAGCAACACAAAGCACTGAACTTCAAAGGTAACTCAAGATCACCAGAACTGCAGAGTTAAAGCATTAGGCAAGTTTGGAAGTTTTAGAAAAAGGAAAATATTTTACGTTACAGAGCAGCTTTGAGGAAGACAGCTATAAGCATACAGGAATTCTCACATACAGAAATTCACGCAGAAAGAGGTACATTTCCAGTTCCTCACCCTCACTGGGAAAGCCCTAGTACCCTGTAACATCCCCAGTTTTGTTAAGCCTAGAAAATTCGGACAGAATGATTACCTAGTGTTGGATTTTTTATTATTTTCTTTGAGTCCTAGCAAACTCTTCTTTTTCAATCCTGATAACTCCATTTCCCCTTCGGAGGCGTCCAAAGCAGCACCGAATGGGCCTCACTTATCTCAAATCTCACTTCTAACTCCTTGATTCTGAGAACCGATCCCTAATCGAATGCAATAAACTCCAAAGAACAGCCTAGTGACAAGATAAAAGGGTTTAGAAACAAGAAATTAACAGATAGGCATAAAACAACAAACCTGCGTTGCAACAGCAGCAGCATACTGGGCATCAACTGACTTTTTCAGAGCACTTCAGTTACACAGACCGGTACGCGGCCGTTAACGGGCAGCCTCTGTGCATGCTCCCACAGGCACCCTGTGTCTCACACAAAAGTCTGCATCCATGTTTTAAGTTACCGTTTTGACGTTCACCAAAGAAAAATGATCTTAATTATCCAACCCAAAAAAAATGGCAGACAGAGGACATCTATTTTCTCTGCAAGATGTACATGCAGCTCATGCCTCTTGACAACAGCTTTGTCTCCAGAGGAAGACGCGCTGGTTTTATCCAAAGCCAATTTGTATCACATAGCACATATCTGTCAGGAAGAAGGAGTTGTTGAGAACAAAACCCCTCACTGAATTCTGGCTGCTTTCAGCCTCAATAAGCTGCTTCCAAAACTCTGTCAGCCTTGGAAAGGTCAGACTATACGGCCCAGTTTGCTGCACTGCTGCAACAGCAGATTCTGCTTTAACTGCTTAGCAGAAAGTCTAAACTGGACTCTGACCTCATCTCGTCCAAATCAGTTCCCTCTTTACTCTAGATGCAAAAGGAGACAAATTTAACACTGAAATACTAGGCATTGGTTGAATTCCATGTGTTTCCCATGAGAGGGCTACATCCATCACATATTCTGCAACGTCTAAACACATTGCTGCATTTTGACTGTTCAACATGGATTGTTTAACAACTGCATTAGAAAGCTGCCTCCAACATACACTTTAATAACCCTTAAAGAACGTGGCAAATTTGATGTGGTGTAAAACGCATTATCTACCTACAAATGACGCATTCAGGAAATGGAAGAGTGGGCACACGTATGTCTGAACTGCCAGGCTTATCTAAAGTGGCACTGAATATTGACAGCACTGCATGACATTGGAAACACCTCTGTCTCCACAGAGAAAATTAGTTAACAAGAAAAAAACTCTCCAGCTCACTGCATCCTGCATTGCTTCTATGCTTCTGGTAAGCAATTACTTTATTCTGTAAATTGCAATTAAATTTATGTTTGGGATGAGATCACTTCTGAACAGCTGAACTCACTTTCCTGATTTTCAGCTTCCCGGTTTTCCCTAATGCGACAACTCCAAAAAGTAACACAAACAAACATTTGCACACCCAGCTCTGCAGATCTGGAAGCCAAGAAACACCCATGCCTTTATGCATGGAGAATGGAAAACCCACAACACAAATGTGACACCAGCAGTGGTGGTAAGAAGGCAATCCATGGACTGTGCCATAGGTGGTGCAAGGGTGACTAAAAGCAAACCTGCACGTGTACATCGTTCAGCTTTATGGCATTTCTAACCAGGTCTGTGCCTCTAGTGAAAAGTGCAACGGGGCTGCAGTTCAAGAATTGGAAGCCACTGCATGACAGCAGCTGACTCACTTCCAAGAATGGAACAGACGTGTTTCTGGACTCACAAAACCAAAAAACTCGACATTTTCCTTTCCCATATCCCTTCTCCTAAATATACCACAGTCAGGTCTGTGTCATCTCTTCCTACACACCGACTTCCCTTACATCTGTGGACCATTGCAGTGATGATGCTATCAGACCAACCATGCAAAACTATTGATTATTGCCTAGCTCTGGCTTTACCCCTACTGGAAGAGGGGAAGGGAGAGAGCCCAGATGAAGACCAGCACATGCTTCGCTGTTACCCAGCTTGCTGCTGGAGCAGTAGGTGGCATTACTATGTAATATTAATACTTCAGTCACACAGCTACCACACCGGCACCGCTCCTCAGGACAGGTGCTCACCAGACAAAATTAGCCAGATAACGTTTATACGTTCAGCAAACTTTCATCTGATGGTACATGCAGCACTTAAGCAGCTGCCAAACAAACCAGCGCTTTCTCTCCATCAAAATACACATTCCCTTCTCAAGAATGTCCCTGGCCTAGCTTACATCAGTTGGAAACCTCAGCCTGAAACACAGGCTGTGGGAACTTTCACTTGCCTGTGTTCAGGCTTTCACTGAAAGATGTGGAAAGAATAAAAACATGGTCTTCACACAAGGACGTATAACAGCGCATATCCAAGTGACATGCTGCTTTCCTACAATCAAAAAAGCTCTCAATTTCTAACAAGTCAATGTTTTTGCAGCACTCACTCCAAATCAAAAAGCCTAAGAGCAACCTACACAGGCCAAACATTCATTTCACACACACACCTCTCTGCTTCAAAGAGTTAATTTGCACTCTTAGAGAGCTGCAATTCTGTAGCAGAGGAAGCAAACTCAGCTCTCCCTGGACTTCCTGCATGGCTACAGGCAAGCCCTTTAGCCAGTCTGCTAAAGGATTAGCAAAAAAGAACAGGCAGTTTGCTTCAGATCCGCATTTGCAAAATGGGGACAAGATTTCCTCCGGTGAGGAGAGGGTTCAACACTTCGCAGATCTTTGCAAAGTTACGGCTGCTCGCCCAAGCTTAACTACAGCGAGCAGCGCCGGAGGAGCGCAGGGGCGGCCAGCTCCGCGTCCCGGTTCGCACGCCATGGGGTTCGTTACGGCGCCGGGCGGACCGAGGACTTGTCGCCGCTGACCGCACCGTACAGGTCGCCATGCTACGAGCGAAGCCAAGGCACGGGCTGAGGAACAGGGAGAGAAAAGCACAGACCAAGCACAGAGTCGGTTCAGAGCAC